ATTCAATGTCGAAACGTGAAATTAAAATCAATAATTCGAAGTGGTGAAGCGTCGGAATTCCCTCAATTGGATTGAATCAATCATATCAATTATTCATTTTTATNTGAATCCTTTACGAGTTGAGGGGTGAGTTTAGGGTTTAGACCAAATAGTAAAATTCGATAAATTGACATAATGTGTAGAGATGCATATGTTAATTATTGCGGTCATAATTGAATTCTTAGAACCAGTGTTTCGTTTAACTAAAATCAATTTGTATAGAGATATGGAATTGAATTACTTAAATAGGCTCAATGAGAACTCGAGAGAGATAAATTGAATACAATAAAAGAATTCGATCGAACACTATATTAGGTTATGAATCTTGATTTATGGAATAAAGGTGATCAATAAGTGAAGTTGTTCCGCCCTAAAACTGATATTATTTGAATTTCAATTAATTGTGTTTGTTTTCAATTTAATTTAATTTCACGTTTTTAAATTAAATAGTTTCAACAAATCCGTAATTTTATTTATTTGCATCAAACACAAGTTAGAAATAGTAAATTGAGAACGAAAGTATAATCCTTTTAGAAATAGTAAATTGAGAACGAAAGTATAATCCTTGTGGGATTGACAATTCGGACTCAAAAGTCTATTATATTACTTGTTAAGACATCGTATACTCGCGATATAAAAAAAGCAACATTGATCTATGTCATTTCATTGTGTTTGATATACGTGATCATTGACGGTTTTAGTTATGATATTTGTAACGAAGACCTCTTTAATCCTATATTGACATAATTGATAGACGAAATTGTTCAGAGAAGCTTTTAGTTATGATAACAAAAGTTTTGACGTCATAAAGTTACGTACATTTATAAGGTAACATATGTGGTCTAGTGGGAGATTGTTGGATTTTAATTTGTCATATGAGCCTACATATGTAATTAATTGTTTATAAATGCTATTTTAAAATTAAGCATAATTAAAGTGATCTAATAAAGATTAAAGTTATGGACTTTGGCATTTAAATAGAGTACGTGCCTAATTATATGTAGAAACCAAATCCATTAGGATTGTATTAGACGATTGGCTGAATACATATGAAAATATAAATAGACTTATGATCCACAATTCATATGTGATTCTCATTTTTTGTGTCATCCCATTAATACAAGAATAAATAGAAAATATATTAAAAATGAAGATCCAAAATCCACAATAAAAAATATAAAATTAACAATCAAGATGAATGAATTGAGATAATCGAAATTATGGAGCAAGAAACCAAAGCCAAGAACAAGAATTCAAAAATCAAGAGAGTTAATATTCAAGATTAAAGATTAAGACACCAAACATGAAGATATTACAGTTGATATTCAAGATTCAAGATCCGAAATTAAGATTCAATAATAAAGAATCATTCATAATGAATTAAGGTATATTCCGCGTTTAATAATCCTCTTAGTTATTTGACTGGAGGATCTGGCTATAAAGTAATTACCTTTTCAAATTCTCGAGATTTAAAGTTTTAATAAAATCTAATAGTCTCTCAATTAATGCTATTTTTCTCTTTGATTCTTACTTCAATTGTATGTTACAAAACATCCAAAGAACTTTGCAGCCGAGGTCTCTTATTGGTATTGAAATTATTTGTCCCGAATCCAGCGTAAAACTTAAAGAACTTGCGATTACTCTCACGAAAAGTGGGTTTGGGATGAAACTCAACCCCTTCGAAAGTACACTAAGAAGTGTCCGTTATTGGATCCCGGATTCCTGTGTCAACAAAATGGTCGAAAAGGATTCAAATGATCAAAAGTGGCGATGGTAGCCCGGAGGTTGCCATCTTCCAAATAATAAGACTTCAACTTTTTTTAGTAATAGATTGTATCATGATCAACGCTAATGATACATTGTATGTAATTATGATACATGCCATATCCATTGATGAGTATTTGATAGTGGCTTCTTTTTTTTTTTTCTGCCCTGGTTTGAGCCTAATTTATTGAGAATAAACTTTGTAAAAAGCGATTTTTTTAAAATAATGCATAATTAAAAAATATTTTTTTTTTATTTACATACAAAATTATCTTATTGGGAGAAAGTCTCTCTCCATCTCAAAAGGCACCATGCAACTTGCTGTACACACTTTAATGAATCGTGCAAATGCCATGATGATTAGTATCTTAAATTTTGATTAGTTTATTTGCTCTAGGCTATGAATTTTTTTAGGAATACCCCTTTTTCACATGATTATAGTAGAATTTGACATGAGTTGTTAAGGATATGTGGGCTACATCCTCACTCATAGCACATTAGAGAACCCTATCTATGTGTCTGTCATGGCCATCTTCATAAGTTATTTTACAAAACTTATAAGTTCTTATAAGTAAATTTTCTTATTCAATTAATCCTAGACTGATTTGATGCAAAAGACTTTCTTCGACACTACTAGAATGGGCGGATTGCTTTCACCGAAGATTCCATAAGATGAAACCAATGAGAATCCCTAATTTGCATGGTCACACAAGGAGTTTCAAAACAATTTACGATATACGAGAAAAACGGGAGTCCAATAGCGAAACATAAGGGCTTCTTGTAAATTCGATTCAAGGAATACAATCTCACCGTCAAATATTACAAAATGTCTTACCTAGTTGTCATTGATTGTTGGCCAGAATATGTGCCCAAGGAAGTTATCGGTGTGGTTAAGGTCGATAAATTGCAATGGTTCTCCACTGAATGGTTCGGAGCAAACGTTTTTGTATTCAGCGCTAGTCAACATTCTTAGGCAACGAACAACTCTGATTTGAAATGAGTCGTGCATTTTCTATAGAAAGTATCGTTTGAATTTGACTTCACCGAAGCAACTAAATAGAAATATTGGGTCATATCATCTATGGAAATTAGCAAAATAAAAAAAGAATAATGCTATTTGTATATGATTTACAAATTGATTTACAGAATGATGATGTGGACTACATTAACCGATATCTAATTGATTTTTTTTCCTTCTCTGTTTTTCACTTTTTCTCTTTCACTCTCTTCCATGTATCATTTTGTATATCAATTTGTAAATCATGATGTACAAATAACACTCAATAAAAAATAACAATAGAGAACATAGACTAGTGAGAGTGTAGAAGTGGCAAATGGGGCTCGGCTTGAACTCGTTTTGAGATGAATCATGGACCGAGTAAAAAATTCCCTTCTTTAAAAAAGCTGTTTGGTTTTGACCTCGCTTGCCAAGTTTGTTTTATTTTGAATTTTTGAATGGGAAAAATTCATAAATAAGGTGTATTCTTTACACCAATTCAAAAATAAGGTTTATAGCTTGAAACTTCAAAAATCAGGTTTTTTTTTTTTTAATTCTAATATAATATAATATAATATAATAAATCCACCCTACATGCACCACCCCCCTGCTCCGGTGACTATTCCGA